CCCCAAAACCCCAAAACCCCAAAACCCCGTATTTAGAAAAGAGTATTGAAGCATTAGAAATAAAAATGGAAGAGTATGCGGAGAAGGTTTATAACATTGTAAATGGGAAGTCGTTCATGAATGTTCTTTATTTGACATCCTTTATGGTTGTTTTTGCAACCATCTTATATAGAATGTTTGGTGCGCTTGATATCACCGCGTTCTTCCTCTACTTCTTGATAAACTGGTACCTGACCACTACCACCCTGATCTTCTACCTCCTCCTCTCCTCAGAAATTAAAATCTGAATAGAACTCGACACTGGCCCCTGCCTCATCCTGATCGCAATGTTTCTACTCCCCTTCTCCTTATGCTTCGGGTTCTTCTGGCTGGCAATCTTCGTACTGCTCAGAGGAAGCAAGGAGGAAATACAGCAGGAGAACAATGATCCGGAAAGAGTTTTGATAATACAGGTTCAGTTTGTACTGTGAAGCGTGATGTATTGGGGACTGTTTTTGGTCACGCCGATTGGGTTTGATAGAGAGAAGGATAAAGGGTTTTGGATAGCAATGGCTCTGATGATGTATTTTGGACTGTATTGATATTCAGTGTATGTACAGACGAGGGTGTATTTATATGAAATTGAATGGATGCCCTATTTGCATCCGCTTACTTGGCTATTTTTGATCGGAATTGTTATATGGCTTCCATTCTTCCTTGTAATCTCCTACCTTCTGAAGATTTGTAGAACTAATGAACACCTTGAAAGGGATGAGCCAAGAGAGCTTGACCAAAGAAGGATTTGGACAGACCAAAGAACAAATAGGAAAGATCAAACTGAGGCCAATGGAAGGTCGAGAAAGAAAGTTTATGAAGGTAGGGCTGGAAGGGTTTTAAGGGAAATATAGGGTAAGGGTGGAGAGCTTTGGATGGGAGTGAGGGATTAGATAGTTAGAGTGGGGATCGTTGTTTTTGATGGAATGAATGTATTAAGATCTGAGATCTTGCTAATTATTTTCTCAGGTTCTTTCTTCTCTTCTAAGCTCCATTCCATATCTTACAAAAGTATTTCTAAATTCTTTTAAAACAGCATTATTCTAAAACACCTCATGTACTAAAATCATCAGTTTATTCCTTTGCAATCTATGAAGAAAGATGAAACTATCTTTTAGGCTTACAATCATCCCAAACTTTTATTAATTCTTCCTCTCTATTCCACTTGCTTCTAGTTTTAAAGGGTTCTAACAAACGCCTTAAGGATAGAGATTGCTTCTGTGCAATATCTGAAGCCATATCTTATTGCACTCAGGTAGGAGGTCTCTGAAATTATCTCAATAGTCATCTTATCTCGCACTAGTTTATAGTTCCTTCTCTATTCAATCTCTAAATTACCGCTCTTTCTCTATAAGAACATCTTGACACAATATCTCCTAATCTCTCAGTTCTCCACTAGAACTGGTTGCTGCTCACAAGTTAGAAAATTAGGCTCAGCCTGGTTAGTTTTGAAAGAGTTTTCGAAAGAGATGAAGTGTAGAAAGTAGGATTAGGAAGTGAGGGTTTTTGGGGATTTTGAGGGTGGACTAGGGTCAGGGGGGAGAGTGGTTTGAAAGGTGGTGTTTTTGGGTGTGAGTGAGGTGTGTTCGAAGGGGGTGTTTTATTGTGAAGGAAGAAGTTCATGAGGAGGAGACTATTAGGGTTTGAAGGGGTGTGGAGAGTGATTACTTTTAGGTGGGTTAATTGTAGTTTTAGTAAGAAAAGGGCAATTTTAATTCTAGACAAGGTATTTGTGCCTTTGCTTGTATTGAGTTATAATAGCTTCAATAATCAACTTATACAATGAGGTTTAATACATATAGACTCTGAGTGCATAATCTGCCTTGAAAATTTTCAAGAGTCAGACCGTAAAAAGACTACCAAATGCAAGCATGTATTCCATTCCAGATGCCTTACCAATTGGCTAAAAAACAGAAAAACATGCCCACTCTGCAGAAGAAGTATCTAACCCCCTAATTCCCCAATAATCCCATTCCTTGACCTCCCTCTCACCCCATTGCTCTTTCCACTTCCTTTCCACAATCTCTTCCCAATCCTTGCTCTCCACAGCCAATTCCCCTACTAATATCCCACTATAAACAAAAACTGACAAAACTCCACACTTAAGTTCAATCTGGAATTACTTCTGTGGGGTTTTGGGGTTTTGGGGTTTTGGGGTTTTGGGGTTTTGGGG